CTGTGGGTGCATGGGGGGTAGGAGACAGAGGAAGGAAGAGAAGTTTCCCCACTGCAGTGGTTCAATGCTGAGAATCTGTGTGAGAGCTCCTTCCTCTGGAGCTGCTGACTGACCCTGCTGCTGAGGAAACATTCTGCACACACAAACTCAATATGTGTCCTCTGCAATGATGAGGACTTCTAAAAATACACAAGACCTTTGTGTGTTTTAATTTAACATTCATCTGAATGTAATGCTCCCACTGTAGCTCTCATAAGAGGTGAGGACGATGACATCCTGAAAGAAATGACATGCAATATTCACCGTCTATGCAAACACGGCAGTGCAGGTATGTCTGAATAAACAACACCTTTAATAAGAGGCAAAAGCTCTCTGTTGTCAATAATGGAATGAACTCATGTATTTTGCATTACATCATATTGCATTTCAATCAGAATAATAGTTATTTTAGAAAATCGAATTTTGTTCATATATAATTTATCTACACTGTAAAACAAATCTGTATCCATTTACCTTTTATTTGATTTGTTCCTGACATCTATCATTTAACATCCATCACTCCCCACTACTAGCAATATAAGTACTTCATAAAATCTTAATAAATGTTATGTGTCCCTTGTTGTAAGTTGCAACTGATTTCAAATCATTCATTAAAAATGTATGAAGATTTCTCCAGCCTTTTAATGGAATGGACAGAGCGGTGAATAAAGTACCTTAAACTCTGTTCATGTGGTAAAAACAACAGCCCTAGAATAGACGGTCTTGAAAGGTTTGATGAAACCAAATATATCTGCATCCTTGTTTGCTTGCTCTAAAAACAAAACACATAGACGGTCTGCCTAAAAGTAGTTCCCTCCAGTAGTTTTCGTGCACGTACTTGTGCTCTCTCCACTTTGCCTAAATAGGTCAGGATGTGGACAAGAAGGAGGTCTCCTACTTTGAGACGGGCACCCTACTTCTTCTCCCAGAATAATTTGAGATGTAGGAATGCTCTGCTTTAATTGAGGGCATCATCCTGTCGACTTCATGTATCATTAATAATAAGCTTTCTGTAAAAAAATCTATATTGCCTGGGAGGATTGTGTTGCAAAGCAAAACAATGGAAGCAATATTTCAGCGTTTGACAGGATTAGTAA